CCCCTCTCTCAGTGGCCCTGGGACATGTGGGACCTGCCTGCTCACGGCGAGCATGGCACCGGGACACGGCGGAGGAGCCACGGCCGGCATCACCCCTGCCCTGCAAAGGACAGGAGGGGCTGGAGGAGATGCCCAGTGGGTGCTGGCTGCTTCCAGACCCTGTGCCTGCCTGGACGTGTCTCAGCTTGCTCACCCGTGGCTGTAAAGGGAGGTTGTGGTGCTGGATATGCCCCTGCCAGAAAGGGAGGCGGAAAATAAGAAATACAAGTGACCCCTGACCAGGCACTGCCCCAGATATATGGAGAGGGATTTTTCTCTTCCCTTAGGTTTTGTGTTGTCCAGGGTGAGGTTAAATAGCTCAAGGATGAGGCAGCCCTCAACCAGGCTGGCAGCCCTTACAGATCCTGTGCCATGTTGACAGCTCCAGCCCCAGCCTTGTCCTACCTGGAAACAGCCTCAAAAGGCTCAACTGCCCCTCCAGCCATAAAGGAAAGGGGCCTGGGACTGGGTCTGTGTGGGAGGAGAGGTGTGTGCAGCTCAGGGTGAGCCCCATGTCCCCAGCCCTGCAGTGGGATCGATTGAACCTCACCTTCTTTCCATTGCAGATAGGATTTATCTGCTCTCCTGCACTGCCACTGCTGGCACCCCCAGGGACCTGGGGCTGTGCTGGGAGCACTGCCCACACATGGGGGAGGGATCCAGCTGGGGATGACCAGGCAGAGGGAAGGCAGCAGCAGTCAAAGGGGTCGAGCTGGGGGAACTGAGGAGCCAATCCCAGTGGGGCTGTCCCCCAAGCCCTGGTCTCTCTTGCCACAGCCCCTAGCCTGGCTTAATCCTGCCTCTTCCCTCCCTGTCACAGGGCCAGGCAGGGGCAGGAGGGCTGCAAGGAGGGGGTCACAGTGTCCCAGGTGTCCCACAGGGAGCTGAGCTCCCCGGGTGCTGCTCACTCACCTTCCCTGTGCAGGGAGCGAGCTGGGGCAGAGGGGACCTTGCACCGCTTTTGTCACCACTGCGGGCAGGGAAGTCAGCCTGGAACACCAAACCCCCATCCTGCCTGGACCCCCAGCCCACCTGAGCACCTTCAGGGCTGCTCCCAGCACGGCAGTAATTCCCTACAGAGCTTTTCCCTGCCCTCCCA